AAACCCCTAGGGGAAGGATTGAATACCACACCCGGATTACCCAAATCTCCAGCAAAGGTTTAAATAGCCTCCAGGAAAAGTTCAAGCATCACAAGAGTGGGCTTTCACCGTCTGGTCTCTATCGGTCGAGAAATTTTCTGGAACTGTGCTAGCCAACAGGCAATCGCGTTCTCAACGACGGACGGACTGAAGCGCTCCAGCGACATCGCGCTGCGTGTCGCGCGCGACACCGTTCTTTGCGACGCGTTGTGTTCCGCCGCCCATGGAGGTGGCTGTCACTGCTTTTGCTTTAGTACCTACTTCAGGTTTTGTTAACGTATTGATCCACCTTTGCCAGAAGTTACGCTCTAGTCAATCTCTATTGCTATGGGATCTGTTATGGCATCAGTAGGAAGTGGCTTACAGTGACTTAATCTTATCATTTCAGGACAGTTTTCGTCACAATAGTACCATATACTTTCTGTCTACACTTCTCAATCGCCCTTTTTCACCATGAATCGGATGCGGGCACGTGGAAAGGAACACGACCCGGCACTGAGTCCATCCTCTCCGCTTCCTTCAGCTTCATCCAGTAATCTTAATCTTTCTCCGATGACATCACCATGCAGAGACAGGTGAGTGACCTCATCGACTCAATTCTTGGTAGAACATTTCTTTGGTCTTGTTTTATAACGATCAGGGTTCTTTCATTTACTCTACTCTGATATGTGATCCCAACTGTATGGTTGTACTGGTTGCGGTTGTCTTAATATGGTTTTTATGTTTGTGTGATGATTCTCGCCAGGGATCTTTGAACAAAACCGGGATCTACTGAGCAAATCTCGGCGCCGGGAAGTATTACATACAGCTTTGATTGGATGTCTAGCTAAACTTGAAATGGAAACCTTTAGTACCAATGGGGGTGCTATACAAGTGGGGTGGGCACACCCAGCTTTTCACGCATGTCAAGTGACTGCCCTCACCCCCCACCCCCCTAGATTGGCTACACTCCCCCTGGCTCACGAACTCCCCAATTCTCGTGACAGTATAGTAGCGAGCAGCATCAGTCTGTACTAGAAATCAGAAGTAAACACGCAACTAAAGGTGCAGTGCAGGTGGAGAAGACATTGTCCAGGAGCCTCTATGTTTCTCTCGTTACCTTCCATGAATGCACTTCCCGTTTATGTTGCAGGAGTTGCTCTACAGATCAAAGTTC